TTAAAAGGTTACAGAAAAAAAAAAAAAATGGTTTTTTCCAAATAAGGATATAAAACAGATATCATAGGTGGCATGCAAAAAGCCTATGTTATTTACTATCCGACCCTTTATAGAAACAGTTTGCCAACCCTTGCTATAAGCACCAAAGTAATTATAGATCCTGAAGCAATGAACAGAACTGTGCCACATAGTAGTGTTTAATATGCTCTTACTATAAAAACTGCCAATTGTTATAATTATTTAAGCTCAGAATAATACTGTTTCCACAATCCCAAGCATCTGCAAACTTCAAACTAAGGTACTTACTTCTTATTCTTATACCAAAATGGAACTGAAAACCATCTATATTTATTGTGTCCCCTCCCCCCCCATCCCCACCCCCAGACTGTCAGTTGTACAAGAGGGCAGGAATTGTATGTTTTGCTCATCACTGAATCCTGGGCCCCAAGGATAGTTCCTGACACAAAATAGAAGATTAATCAATTTCTGCTTCAAGAATGAAGAAAAGACCCCATCATAAATTTTAACAGGGAAAAAGTATACCTAACCTTATGGGTCTAAGTATTAGAGGGATTTTTAAAATGCAATAGTTTCTATCTTGGTTATTATTTTTATAACCTAGGATATATATGATCAAATAGTGCAGATCAAGTATGATTTTATTTCTAATGTGTAGACAACATGCCTTTGGAGCACTGAGAGTAACTGTTTTAATCTCAGTCCTAAAATATAATTGGGAAAGTTCACTTGCTTCTAAAAAAGAAAAACTTTCAAAATAAAATTACTTGTACATTTTCCTTTTAGTCAATTATCTACAGCATTGTTCACTGGTCCTCCTTCCATTAACTTTGACTATCAAACATTAACCCCTTGGTGAAATTCCTCTAACCAAAGGACCATGATTTACTACCCACGATGTCACAAAAATAAATATAAGGAAGACACCCAAGTTTTTTAAAAATAATTTCATGATACAAAAGAAAGCATTACAAGATAAACATGTGGAAAAGTTCTGTGAAGTATTTTACTTCAAGAAAAAATATCAAAATCTGTTTTAGCAAATAACCTACAATGTGCTTTGATTTTTGTATTTGCTTATTTCACTAATATTTGGCATATGTCCTATAATCCTAATGTACATATCCACTCCACCAAACACAATGCAGACGTCTGAGAATGCTAACCTAATAATCAAGTAATTTGTAAGTCAAATTACTGCAGAAACTAATACTAGGTTATAAATATTAAATCTGTCTTTGATACATTTATCAACAGTAATAATAACACTATTTGCTTCCCACAGCTACCAATGCAGATGTACTAATGACTCAAACACCATGAGTGGTGTTGCCATCACTTTGTGATTTTCCAGGAGTGAACAATTCTTACAGATTTCTGAATGAAAAGTGAACTGTCCTAGATATACAATGTGCTAAGCCACTGACTGCATTGATGATCTCAATTAACAGCATCCCGCTATCAATGTACTGTAAGCTAGTAGTCTCCTCCCACTTGGTTCTGGACTTGACAGCAAATTGTTCACAATACAAACACGCAAAGCACAGATGCAAAAGAGAATTAATTTATAACACAGAAGAGATTGTAAGCATTTAAATATCTGGAGGAATATTGAAAGCATGTAGAATGCAGGTTTAATTCTGTTGTGCACATTGTAAATCATCCATAACCAGAGCACTACCCTGAATAAACCTGGCAACAACCCCAAATCATGACAACCAAACATGCCCCTCAAAACACTAAGACTCCCACGAAAGGGTAGAAGACTCAAGATTGCTGTCAACGTCAATATACTTTATGAGCTGTTTTTTTTTTAATTTTTTTTAAGATTTATTTATTTTATTTATACAAGCACTGGGTACAGTCAGAAGCGCAGGAGGGTGAGAGAATTCACCAGAGCCAGAGCAGGGAGCAGAGCAGGCAGAAGGACCCAAGTACACTGCTGAGGGGAGCAGCGGGCGGCAGGAGAGGTCTGCGCGCCATGTGGGACCCTCGCCAGGTGGCCAGGGATCGAACCGGTGCTGCAGAGGCTGCAGCAGCTTCGAAACCCAGAGCTCAACCGCTGAGCCACCGGGGAGGCCCTACTTTATGAGCTTTTTAACTTGCAACAATCATCTTCAGAATTGAGCCCATTCATGCAGAAGATGTATGATAGTGCCTTGAGGCCAATATCACACTAATACCAAAACCAAACAAAGGCATCAACAACAAAAAGGAAAACTACATGTCAATCACCCTAATGAACACAGTGCTAAAATTCTCAACAAAATCTTAGCAAAGCGAATCCACCAATGCTGCAAAATGATCATATACCTTGACCAAGTGGGATTTATTCCAGGGACACAAGAATGGGTCAACATCCAAAACCCAATGTAATCTACCACATTAACAAAAAGAGAAAAAAAAAAAAAAAAAAAGATCATATCAACACACTGAAAGCTTTTGATTAAGTTCAACATCCATTTATGATAAAAGCCCTTGAAAAACTCAGGATGAAAAGAATATATCTCAGGGCCTCCCCTGGTGGCGCAGGTGGTTGAGCACTGCGCTGTGAAGCTGTCCGCAGCCTCTGCTGTGCCAGTTCAATCCCGGCTGGCTGGGGAGGGTCCCACATGGTGCAGCAGACCTCTCCTGTCTTGCCTGCTGCTCCCCTCAGCAGTGTATTTCAGTCAGTCTGCCTGTTCTGTTCCCCACTCTGTCTCTGGTGAATCCTCCCACCCTCCCGCGCATCTGGCCTGTACCCCGGTTCTTCTATAAATAAAAAAATAAATCTTAAAAAAAGAAAAATGTATCTCAACATAGTAAAAGCCATATATGACAAACCCACAGCTAGCATCATTCTCAATGAAGTGAAACTAAAAGCCTGGCCACTAAGATCTGGAAGGGTTGATGCTAATCAAATTTAGTCAAGAGGGGAGGAAATGATAAATTGGATAATCTCACTTCTGTGTGGAATATAGAAAAACCAAACAAAGGGTCAAAGACAAACCTTGAAAGTTGACCATAGATGTGAGGGATTGGGGGAGTGTGTGTGTTTGTACACACACACCATGGGGGGCAGAGGAAGAAACACAAGGAAATATGGTGATGAATTGTGAGCACTCTGATGGAGGGAGACTATATTATCACACATGAGGGGAGAAATCATATATTGTCCAAAATTAACAATGATGTAAGAATAAAATACTATATTTAAAGGCTAAAAATATTATACATATATAAAGCTTGCATACTATATATCAACTTTTTAAGAAAGTAATTTAAAGTTTGCAATATGAGGCTAACCCCAAACTTTACACAATTATCAATAGTTCAAGTATTTTTACTTGTTAATATATTATTTTATACTTACAGTGATAAAAACCTGCATTTTCACCTAGCTTTAGATTTCCCAATAATGTACCCACATCAGTCTGGAACTTGATCACTCAAAATAATTTATCACCAAAATTCAGAGATTTCAAAGTATGCTCCCATCTCTAGATGATGTATTTAAAAAAATATTTCGTAACTGTGAACTTACACATCCTCACTACTTTCAAAGTATGCTCCCATCTCTAGATGATGTATTTAAAAAAATATTTCATAACTGTGAACTTACACATCCTCACTACTTTAGAACAAAAAACACGTTGAAATTATTACTATTTTAAAGTAATACAAGCAATTGCAAGTTTAAAATATTACTATCAAAGTGTTAGGAAGAAAGAAAAGGAGAGCAAAACTTTTGCAAAACATGCTGTGAACATAAAAGAGAAAACTGAAATAAACGCTAACACTTTTCTTCTGTCCCATTTATGAAAAATATGCAATGAGTATAGTACAAGTAATAGTTTTTTTAGGGAGTGACAAGACTTCCTTGTGAAATAATAGCTATTATTAACCAACTGGGTTGACTGGCTCATAGTGACAAGATAATAAAACACGCCTATGTCTTTGTTACTGATTTTGTCCTTAAAAAAAAAAAAAATAATAAGTTCCCTACTTTCACTAATAGCAAAACATGAAATTTAAAAAAAAAAAAAAAGGCAGAATGGAATTGCTAGAAACCCATTACAACAGAGAATGAAAAGATACCCAAATTTGGGCTTCCCTGGTGGTGCAAGGGGTTAAGCACCACACTGTGAAGCAATCCACAGCCTCTGCAGCAGGAATTCTATCCCTGGCTGGCCAGAGAGAAACCCCACATGGCGAGGCAGACCTCTCCTATCTTGCCCGCTGCTCCCCTCAGCAGTGTATTTCAGTCAGTCTGCCTGTTCTGTTCTCCATTCTGTCTCTGGTGGATCCTCTCAACCCCCTGCATCTCTGGCCTGTAACACCCCAGTTCTTGTATGCATAAATAAATAAAAATTAAAATAAAAGTTACCCAAATTTTAATTTAATCATTTTCCCATGAGACCAGGCTGCCTTCTCAGAACTACTTACCACCTCCTTACTGAGGACCTGCTCAATATTAAATATCCCATGTACTTTTTAAAGTTAAAATGTAATAAAAAGGAAGGAGGGAAACTCAAGTGAAAGCTGATCAAATAACTGCCTAACAAAAGTTTACTATTTAGTACCACAAAACTAATTCTCTCTTTCTAGGTCTTTTATTTATTTTTTACATGTTAAAAGGACAGGTTTATTAGGAAAAGGAGAAAGGGAGGCAAAGAGCTGCTGCTTTTGAAAGAAAAAGGCTGTGAAAATTGCCTTTTTCTTGGTCTTTTAAAGAAAAGACTAATGGTCAGTTACTCCAATGCCAGATGTCCACCAAAAAAAGTCTTTTCCATTCAACACTGATGAAATTTAAAAATGTATGCTTCACCTCAGGTTTAAGGCTAAGTATTTATGTAGCAGACATTAATTCTAAACACATTATTAAAACAGGAACTCTAAAATAGCTAAATACACAATACAAACATAGCTCACCATTCTATATAAATTTTAAATATTAAAACGACTGACTTCAAAAAATAATTCAAAACTATAAAAATACTTACTTCATTTCCATGTTTTTGCAGGAATTCAATTTCCTGTTGTGTGAATGTCGTCATAGAGATAGATTTCACCCTGTGTGGAGGATTTAACCCTCGCCTAAAAGATAAACACATTTTAAAAATTCACCATTATATCCTGTAGTATTTTTTAAGTTACATGTAAATGCAAAACATTTTTAATCAGCATATTTAAATTTGGAACAGTATTTTTATTCCATAAACTAAAGGTACTTAAAATGTATCTTAAACTGTAATCCCCACAACAGATACATCAAAGTTATATTGGTTAGTCTCACACCTGTACATTTAAAGACAAATTCACAAAATAATGTAAGTCACGCCATTATGCTGTATACTTTAACTCACACAGTGATATACATCAATTATATCTCAATAAAATTGGAGGGAAATATGAATAAAGATAAATTCAACTAACTACCTTACTAGAAACACACAGCATCTATAAATACATGAGCTTCTAAGAAATATATATTGTGTTTCTGATGGAAGAAGAAGATTGTAATACAGAACTTCATGAAAAAGAATTCCAAAAGTAATTAATTGTTCAAATAAATATTTTCATATTTCCTAAGAAAGAGACAGCAATGTGCTAAGTTTGGAGCTATACAAATAGTCTAATCAAATGGCTGTTACCTTTAAGTGTGGAGCTAATTTAGAGTACTGAAAACTAACAAGGTTAATAATCAGTAAGGAAAATGGTCCCATCTCTCCATAAACTCAAGTAAGGACTTCTAATAAAAGGACCTTTTTTTTTTTTTTTGAAATATTTTAAGTGTATTTATCTGGCATAGGACTTTTATACAGAACTTACAAAGAGGTTTTTCAGCTCAATAGTAAGAGGACACTTAATTTTAAAACTTTAAATACTTCACAAAAACCATGCGAAAGGTCAAAAGGCACAAGAAAAGATGTTAAATGTCATTAATCCTAAGAAAAATGGAAATTAAAACTACAAGGAGATAGCATCTTATACCCACTAGAATGCAATTATTAAACAGACAGCGCCAATAATGTAGAACCACAGAAAAGCTCATACACTGAAGTTGATTGGTAGTTTTTTTTAAAAGTAAAACAAGCTTCTGCTATATGACTCAGCTACTCTTAAGTATTTGTTCAAGAGAAACAAAAACTTAGTCCACATAAAACCCCTGTACAGCAATTCTCATATCTTTATTTGTAGTAACCCCAAACTGGAAACACTATAAATATCTATCAATGGTACATAGGCAACATAGAGGAGTAAAACATTGATATACATAACAACATCAGTGAATTTCAGTCATGTTAAGACTAAAAGAAATCAATCACTAAAGAATATGCTATGTGGTTCTATTTATACTTGAAGAATGTGCTATGTTATTTTATTTTAAAAGGACCTTTTTAATCACTCCAGGACACAGCAACATAGGGAAGGGAGTCAAGAAATAATTGAATGCATAATTAAATGACTTTTACAACTTTGAAGCCTTTTCTGTATAGATGGTCTTGTGAGGAATATGTAAGTTTCTTGATGTTTCATCATCCACATGAACAACTTAATAGAAATATACTCAAGGAGAAGAACAAGTAGACATTCTAACTATCACAAAGCGGCCTATTCTACCCACAAGAATAAGGGTTAAAATAATATCTGCAAAGAAGTAAGTAATATATGTTAAGTTTCCTAAAATTACTTTGGAGTCATGTCCTCTGGTAAAGAGTTCATTTGGAATCCAGAGTAGATTAGTATTATTTTTACAGGATTGTCAAAATCCTGCAATCATCAATGCTAACTGAGTGATTTACAATAATAAAAGAACAAAAAAAAAAAACTTTCAAAAATACTTGGAGATATTTTTGAGTAATTATATATGTGTAATAGCTAGATATTCACAATATTTTAAGTGAAAACAGGGTGAATTCAGAATTAAAATCTTCTCAATTTTCACATCCTAATCCTCCTTCCTCCCCCCCCTTTTAACTGTCAGATTACATGCCTTTCAGATCATGTTTTGAATTATGATAAGTTACAATTTATCTGTTCCACACTTCGAAGTGGAAAAAAATATTCAATGGGTTTTGTTGTTTTCATGTTTTGTTTAAATTTTGAACTAGGAAATTACTTTCCTTCTAATTCCTGGTATGTCATAAAATACAGGGGAAAGGACTGCATATAAGAGAAACTGAACACAGCCATCTTCCACCTAGGAAAATTTTCAAAACTTAACCGTGAAGAAACAGCTACATTATAATTACTTTCAAATAACTTCACAACCTACATCAAAAATTAACTCCACAGGGCCTCTGGTGGTGCAAGGGGTTAAGCACCGCACTATGAAGCAATCCGCAGTCTCTGCAGCACGAGTTCCATCCCTGGCCTGCCAGAAACACACATGGCGCAACAGACCTCTCCTGATGCCCACTGCTCCCCTCAGCAGTGTATTTTGTCAGTCTGCCTGTTCTGCTCCCCACTCTGTCTCTGGTGAATGCTCTCGCCCCCCACCCCATCTCTGGCCTGTACCCCAGCTCTTGTATGCATAAATAAATAAATTAATTAAAAAAATTAACTTCACAGATTAGTTACAGATTTTCTAAATTGAAAATTTACAAAAGCCATTTTTTATTCACTTAAAGCATGACTTTTTCAATTTTATATAAGAATAAAAACTCACCATTTTCAGGGCAGCTTATTAATTTATTGTATGCATTTACAGGCTATTCTATTCCAAAACAATTTAAGAAGGAATTACTGTTCTCTCAAATTCCTCTCTTCTATTCCCTCCCTCCCACTAAGCAACTTTGTCTCTCCTTACTCCATACCCCCATTGTGTTCCAGCCAACCCCTCACTTTTCAACCTTCCTTGTAGAATCCTTTCAAAAAATAGAAAAGGCAAAGGAAATGGAAATGTCAAACACTGTTAAAAGAGTATGTTCTGGATAAGAAATTTTGAATCAAATAATTATACCATTATACTCAAATCATTAAACGAGGAAATCCCTGACTCTTCCCATGTTGTAGGTTTACAGATGTAATCTCATGAAAGCAGCACAGTACGTAGCTTATTTCATTCATCAGGAGTTCATTTACACAAAAGGTATTTATCTTTCTTACAAAAATGAATAAAACTTTGAACTTATGAAATACAACTAGGATGCATTCACAAAGTATGAAAGCCTATTTTTTCCCATTTAACAAGAACACTATTACAAGATTTCTTTAAATGAGCTCTCTCAATGCATTTTAGTATAATTTTCAACATACAAAACTAGTATACACAATTTTGTAAGGCTATAAGTAACTCCAAGGAAATTTTACATATTTCCATGTTCTCTAATTGTTCTTTTATCAATATATTCCATTATTCCATTTTATCAATATATTCCATTATTCCTATAGTCTCAATGCAAGGATATACAAAGACTTTTCCTTTTTTACTTTCTAAACTTTGTACATGGATAGTATGTGTTTATTATAAAATGTAGCTTAGTAAAAAATCTAAAGACATTCTATCAATTCTGTAAGTAGAATGTCGATTAGTCGGCAGTGATAATGGGTGGACCTGATTGATGGTGGGATAATTCAGCAATTTGTATCAAGAATCTTATTCATGCCATTTAACTCAATAATAAATACCCATTTAGGAATCATTTCTAAAGATGGAATCTGTAACAAAGCTAGCTAATTATGTACAAAATGTTCATCAAACGTAAGTCATAACAGAAAAACATTCAGTACCAAAAGGGAAGTGGTTAAAAAAATGATAAAAAATTGTATAACATTATGCATACTTTTGCTTATGTTTTAATTTTCTAAAATGAAAATTATATTCTCAGAATGACATAAAAAAAATCTGAAAACAGGAAAGCCAAATAGCCCAATGTTAAGTCTTTTGCATGTAACAATAATGGAATTGAATGGTTTTTTCCATTTATTATTTTCTATTCTTGTAAAGTTTTCCACAATGAATTTGTACTATTCTGTAAAAGGAAAAAATAACGAAAAGTCCAACTGATAAGGAGTAGTGGTCAAAAAAACTGGACATTTAGTTCTGACTACATAAATGTGAATGTGCTGAAGAATTAGAGAAGGGAAATAAAGGGCGAAGATAGGTGATGGGAGACAGGCAAGGAGGGGATTAGGGGGCACTTGGCTCTGTGCATCAAAGGATATAGAGTTACATCTCTGACATCTACTAACAAAATGTTAGTAATATCCCCAACTCAACAGCAACCATCAAAAATGTTTCCATTATTGCCAAATCTTCCCCCATGCTCAAGGAGAACAATCTCTACCACTGCTTTCAATACACCAAAATGTTGGTTACCGAGTAAAATCAACTGGTGAAACTGCTTTTGGTCCTGATCTCAGTTGAGATGTAAATTCTACCTCAATCCAATCTACTACAAAACATTCAGCAATCTCACCCCATATAAAAAACAAATAAATTTTCCTTTAACTTTACCATTTCCAGAATAACTAACAGAAAACATATATTAATACATCTTTCTATGAAATAATAACAAAACAAACATACAAATCTAAAACTTGTGGAATATTTATTAAAATTTAAATTTGAAAAGACTATGTCCACAAAAATAAGCCAAGATTGAACTACATGATGTCAAGTTCACATACACAAAGTGGTAGGCAAAATGATAAAGTAAAAGGAAATCTATATTTATAAAGTACTTAAGACTGCCACTTTGATATCTATTCTCAATTCCTACTTCCAATACTACAGCAGACTGGATAATCTAATAAAGACTCCTCTGCTAAATATGACAGATACTCCACAGGTTACAAAAAAAGATAGTAAAACAATTATTAACATATTGCTGGTGTCCCAGAAAGTAAGGGAAACTGTGCTCAGCTCCACCCTCCCTTGGGTGGGGCAGGGAAACTCCCCCTTTCCTGGGGACCACCCTGTTACAAAACCTCCAAGTACCCCTAAAAAAATATTACAACTTGAAAGTAAGCTGAGATCAGAACAGCCCATTTCATATACAAAATGCTGTGCTGCTCAGAAAGTAAATACCAACAATAGCCAAGACAAGGCGAGAGTAGAAACAAATATTCTTGTTAAAACTAAAATCCTA